TGTGTGTGCATGTGTCTGTGTGTGCGCCCTGGGCATTGAACCCAGGACCTTGCATGTGCTAAGTTTGTGCTCTACCACTCATTTTAATGTGTTTTTGTCTATTTCTGCTAGCATAAGCTTTTTGAGGCATAGACTTTCTTTCTACTGTGGTGTCTCAAGTGCCTAAAACAGGTTCAAGCACATATTAGATGTTCAATGCACAATTATTGACTAATAGAAATAAAAATTTAAAGTTAATCATTTTTATAAAGTATCACTAAAGACAGTTTGGGATTATCTGTACTTTAAATTCAAAAGTGGCAAGTCAGGCACAGTGGCGCACACCTGCAATCCCAGCGGCTTGGGAGGCTGAGACAGGAGGATCGCAAGTTTAAAGCCACCCTCAGCAAAAGCAAGGTATTGAGCAACTCAGTGAGACCCTGTCTCTAAATAAAATAATACAAAGTAGGGTTAGGGATATGGCTCAGTGGGGTTGAGTGACCCTGAGTTCAATCCCCAGTGCCCCCCCCAAAAAAAAATTACAAGTAAAGGCCAGTGTGAAGGTGCTTTAGGATCAGGCAGATCCTGGGTTTGAATCCTGGCTCTGCTGAGACTATATCTGGGCCTCTCTCCAAAGATAAGATGGGGATTATGCTACTCACTTTAAATGTGTGATCATTGGCATAAAAGTGCCTTGTACTTAAGTACTTTGATACTGTGGAAAATATTAACCTTTCTTCCCTTCATTTTCTTCCATGGCTAGGAAAAGTGAGCATGGAAAACAAAGTATAGAGTTACGATGCATTATTTTGTTTAATAATGAAGTAGCAAGTTATTTCTTGATTTTCAGATGATCCTCACAGTGGCCAATTTTTTTTTCTTTTTTAACATATGGCTCACTCTCATTTTATCATTTAGTTCTTGGGGGGGGGTGGAAAGTGAGCTAAAATTAGGTTTCTGATACCCAGTAGGAATGCTTGGATTGATCATATCCCTTCTTGCCATTCCCCCAAATCTCTTGAAAATTAAAGAGCTAAAAAGTGTCTTGAAGCATATAGGAAAACTTCAGTTTAAACTCTGATGTCCCTACAGAACCATAAAATTGTTTTAGCTCATTGCTTATTGTTCCTTCATGCTATATATATATATATATATATGTGTGTGTGGCTTGTAAAGTCAAGAGCAAAAGTCTGTACAGCAATGTTTGCCTTTTTCATTGTTCTGTAGTTGCACAGCAGAGTCTCAGATAATGGCAGTGGCATTTTTATTGAATAAACTCACTCGGACAACTAGAATAAGTTTTAATATTTAAAGTTGCTAAGTAGACTATAACATTTGCAGTTATGTAAACAATTTTAATTCATGCTCCTTGGCTGATTTCCATTTCTCATAACCTTTTATATACTTAGCTATTTGTACTTTACGAAGGCAAATTTTGCCAAGTACATTGGTATATGCCTGTAATCCCAGCTACTTGGGGTGCTAAGGCAAGAGAATTGCAAGTTCAAGTTCAGCCTGGGAAACTTAGTGAAATTGTTCTCAAAATTTTAAAATGTTCTAAATGGGCTGGGGCTCTAACTCAGTGGTAGAGCACTTGTCTAACACACACAAGGCCTTGGGTTCAACCCAGAACCACTGAGGATAAAAAAAAGATGAAAGAAGGAAAATTAGGAGATATGCTTAACTGTCAAATTATTAATTTATCCACCATGCATTCCTTGAATGCTCCCTAAATGTCAGGCATTTAGGTACAATGGCAGTACCTAGACGAAGTAGTTGTGTCCTCTACTTGGGAGAAATATGTTGCTCTGTGGCAAAAGACACATCTGTAATTATAGTGCAGGAAAATATGTGGTTTTCTAAAAGCTGTTGCAAAATGGTGTAGGAATGTGTATTTTAATGTGCACCTATTAGGACATTGATATAGGGGTAAAGCAAGGTGGCCACCTATTCTATTGTAAGTTTTTCCTTTTTCAGTGTTTTGGTCTGGGATATTGAATTGGAAGTTGGCAGGCATTAAAATGCCCCTTGGGTCAACCTATTCTGTTACTTGCCACAAAACTTCAGCTGTTGAGGAAAGAACAACTTTGTCATCTCATTGCTAAAATTTAGAACACATCTAAAGATCTATGTAGAAGAGTAATTAGCTGAATAATCTTATGTCCTTAAGACAGAATTTTATGAAGTTATTATAAGCCAWGGTAATGAAGATTTTTAAAATCTAGCAGAAACAGGACAGAATACTAAATGAAAAAAATCTAATATTGTGCATACTTGGTATTCTTAACTACTAAAACAATGTATTGAACAGGGGAAATAAGTCAATAGATTAATAATGGGATTATGGGTTATTTTGTTCTCTGTTTTTTATGCATTTTTAAAAATTGCTACAGTGAGTCTTTAAGATTAGAGAAAATAATTCTTATTTTAAACAGTCCATTTCATTGCTATAGCTTGGCTGGTCAAGTGAAGCATATTGTTCACCAGGCCTTCTGGGATGTCTTGGAATCAGAACTAAATGCTGACCCCCCTGAATATGAACATGCCATCAAACTGTTTGAAGAAATCCGAGAGGCAAGTTGATGCTGTGTGAATTAGTATCTTGGTCTATTTGGGCTTCTGTAATAGTATATTATAGAGAAATTGGCTGTTAATCAATAGAAACTTATTACAGTTTTGCAGGCTGAGAAATCTTATGGTTAGTCCCCAGCAGATTTGGTGTCTTGTGAGGGCCTGCTTTCTTTTTCATAGAGGATACATTCTTGCTGTGTCCTCACATGGTACAAAGGAAAGGAGCTCTAGAGGGTCTTTGCATTCGTGATGACTTCATCCTTATGTCCTTATCACCTCCCACAGTTTCACTCCAATATCATTTATTGGGAATTTCAACATATGAATTTGGGGGGAGGAGGACACACATTTTGTCTATAGCAATTACCCACCCCATCCCCCTGCAAAGACCATTTCATACCTTTTGGTATTGGCCACACTTTTTGAAAAACTGAGCTCCATCACTAGTAAGAGTTTTCCCCTGCACTTTCTGAAGTGGGATGGAGGCTGGGAAAACAGGGCAGTAGAGATACCAGGGCATTGCGGAGCACAGAGCGTTGGCTAGAGAACAGCCTCTGGAGTTAGGTAGGTTAATTTAGTATGGGCTCTAAGTCTCAGTTTCCTGAGTGCTAACAGGGTAGTTACAAGAATAAATGAGCTAACTTTTATAAGGCCCTTGCTTCATATCATGTACTAAATTTTTCATTTATTTTTACTGTAACTCTTTGAGGTAGTTACTCCTATAATTTTATGTAAAGAAACCAAGTTTTATAATTCACCCAGGGTCCCAAAACTTTGAGGGATCCGAGGGATTGAATTGGGCACTGTGGCTTAGAGCCTGTGCTCCCGACATGTGCTGTGTATGTAAGCACAGTGTCCACTGTGTAGTGGAGACTCAGTAAACAGTTTGTTTTTCTAATAGATAATATTTTATATGAAAAAGATACTTAATGGGCCACTCAGGTGTTTTCATCTACTCTTTCTCAAGGGTTCTTCTGGAGCCATAATGTACAACTTATTTGCGCTGCTTTTCTGTAGTATTTTTTTAAAAAAAATATTTATTTTTTAGTTGTAGTTGGACATAATACCTCTATTTTATTTCTTTATTTTTATGTGGTGTTGAGAATCAAACCCTGGGCCTTGCACATGCTAGCAAGCACTGTACCACTGAGCCACAACCCCAGCCCTTCCATAGTCTTTTTTGAAGGGCTCTTAGCAATACAGCTTCTTTGCCAGTTGTTTTCATTCTGATAGAATCAGTCATTTCCTACAGTGAGAGCCTTTGATTCAGAAGGTAGAGATTTCTTCTTAGAGTTGAGATGCTAGTATGTTTCCCAGGCAAAGGCAGTATCTGTGGCATCAGGGACATTATAATAAGGACAAGGAGCTTGGCCATCTAGACACAAAAGTGAAAAGTGACAACCTTTATTCATGTAATGACCCAATTAATTTTTCTTGCTTTCCCTGTGTAGATTCTTCTCTCTTTTCTTACTCCTGGTGGGAACCGGCTTCGCAACCAAATCTGTGAAGTTTTGGATACAGACCTCATTAGACAACAGGCCGAGCACAGTGCTGTTGACATCCCAGGCCTGGCCAACTATGTCATCAGTACAATGGGAAAGCTGTGTGCTCCCGTGCGAGATGATGATATCAGAGAGTTAAAGGCCACTGGTAACATTGTGGAGATGCTGAGGTTAGCACTTGAATTTTCTTATAGTATCTTTGAGTTTCTTCAGAAGGGAATGTGGGTATTGGGGGACACAGAATAATAACTGGTCTTCCTAAGGAATTCTTTTTTTGTCAGTGCTGGGAATCAAACCTAGGCTCTCACATGTAATAGGTAAGCACACTATCACTGAACTACATCCCAATCTTCCAAAGGAATTCTTGACCCTATAAGAAAACCACATTAACAGGGAGTAGGCCAGTTGTTTACTGTGTGTGTAGTTTTCAGACAGAATGATCTGACAGGGTTATTGGTTGGCATTTGTGGGCCTTGGGGATGCTGTGATAAAAAGATAGAAATGATTCCTGATACCAGGGAGTTTATGGTTTAAAAGGGAGACAGGGCTTGAACAGTGAATTACAGTTGTGGTAAGTGGTATGGAAGAGAAATAGAGGGTCTTATGGAGCCTCCAGCAGAAGGACTTGATCTAATAAAGGATCTAGGAAGTCATCTTTATTCCTAAGGGCCACTAGCTGCTATAACACCTAAACCCTGAATTCTCAGTGATTTAGCCAATAAAAGTTTGTTCTCACTCATGTCACAGTCAATTCAGGAGCTCTTGGTTGGACAGCCTTCCACATGCTATTTGGGGACCCAGGCTCCTTCTGTGCTTTTTCCACCAAGGTTTTCAGGATCCTCTCAATTCACCTGGGGAATAGAAAGAGACCATGGGGAAAACAGACCCAATGTAAAAACACCTTAGCCCTGAAGTGACACATTCTTTGTCTATGGCTAGTCTTATGGTCCCACCTAGATTGAAAGGGACCTGGGAAAGGCAACTGCTCTCTGGAAACACTTTTTGCAGCCAGAAAAAGAGGTACCTCTCTGTAGAGAGATAACATAGACCCTTAGTGGTCAGGTAGCCATCTTTGCTGTAGTTTTCCTGAGGAAGTGAGGTGCACATTAAATTGCTAGAATTTCAGCTAGCCTTGTAGACAATAACTTGATTTAAGAGAAAAGAAGAGTCTATAATACTTTTTCCCACTAATGGGAACTTTTCTTCCTTTTTAAAATGTATGTATTTATTATGTTCCCACATTGGGAATTGAGTTTTATGTAATTGTTTTAGAAAGGTAGGAAAAGGAAATAGGTTTGTATGTGGCAGGTAACTCACTTTGTGACTTTGGTCAAGTTGATAGTCTCTCAATGCAACACTTTCCTTATCTATAAATTAGGTTTTATATATTTTATTCTTAGTTATGTTCCTTTCTGGAAGATTGTGGGATCCTTKCTTCCAGATATCTTACTGTATATTAAATTCCAAACATATGGTGTTCATCTTGATCATTTATTGAGCACCTACTATGTGCCACTGCCCCCTGCACTTTACCCTCATTATCTCGTTGATTGTTAATAATACCCCTCCAAGGTTGATGTCCTCCTCTTTCAGCCTTAAGGAAACATGGACCAAGTGACATTGAGTGACTTTTTCATGGCCATAAATCTGCTCAGTTGCAAGGGTGGATTTCAGCACAGGGCTGCCTAACATTTTTAAGAAATAATTTCCCATGGTGCCTCACTGCCCTGCCCCTTTTTTACTTTATTGATTGATTTATTTTTTCTTATTTCCTTAGAAATATAAACCATGCACACTATGTTCAGGCTCCTTAAAATTTCAAGGACTTTCAAATGAAAATTCCTTCTTGAATTTTTTTTATATTATTGTTAAGGCTAATTGTTGATGCTTTTTATTGTCTTTCTCTCTTTCTCTCTGTTTATGACTGGCTTTAATGGATCAGCTGGAGGCATTATATCTGATATAGTAAATACTCTTGAGACCTGTGGAAGAAGTATTTGGAATATACATGTATGAATTCTATGAAAAGTGACCTTGACAAACAGTAATTGGAACTTCAGAACCATATCTTTTGCAGACTATGACACATAGATAGTAGCTGATAAATTTCAGTTTAACTTCTTATTCACCTCTTTAACTGTTTTAAATTTTAATATTTTTAGACAAATATTTCATGTCCTGGACCTCATGAAAATGGACATGGTCAATTTTACAATTAAAAGTATCAGACCACACCTTCAACGCCAGTTGGTAGAATACGAAAGAAGCAAGTTTCAAGAAATTTTAGAAGAAACTCCAAGTAAGTATGATAAAACATGTATTTATATTAAATTTGGATGAAAATAAGATACTTTAAATTTTTTTAATCTTATGTTTATTTTGGTGGTATTCTTTTTTGTTTGTTTGGTTTTTGTCTTTTTTGTAACTGGGGGTCGAACCCAGAGATACTTTAATTTTTGACACTTTGCATAATGTCACTATTTTGGCCTTGCTTTCAGTCATTTTGATACTTTCTGAAATTGACATCACAAACTTACAGTTGTTTGCTCTGTCCTAGAAACTATGCTAAGCCCTGTTTATTTTTTCATTCATTCAAGAAGTGTTTACTGAACACCTTCTGTGTTCTGGACATTATTTCTGTGCCATGGGGTTACCACCGTGAACAAAACAGTCACAGTCCCCAAGGAGCTGACATGCTAATAGGCACGACGAGTAAACATATATTTTCAAATGTGTTATTAGGAGACAGATAGTAACAGGGCAGGAATGAGGGTGGGTGGTGTTTTTTGATGGAATGGAGAAGTTTTGCCTTTTTAGAAAATAACATTTGAGAAGAGTTCACAAAGAGATGAGGAAACAATGTGTGAAGACCTGGGGGGAAAACATTCTAGCCATAGAGAACTATAAATAAAATGATGCCAAAGCAGATATTGTGGCTGGAGTAGGTAAGGAGAGTGTTGTGGGAGATGCAGGCAACAGAGAGCCATGTTAGATTTTATTCCAAGTTCAGTGAGAAGTTTTTGAGCAGGGGACCAACATCTGATTTTTGTTTTTGAAGAATACTCTGGTTACTGGGTAGGGAATAAATTGTRTAAGAACAAAGATACCAATTCAAGTATTTGACAGGAATGATGGTGTCTTATTCCAGGTTGTGGTGGTGGAAGTAGTGTGAAGGGGTCAGATTCCAGGTATATTTGAAGGCAGAAATAGTAATATTTGCTGAAAGTTGAACGAGGGAAGATAGAGGAATAGAGGATGACTCATTGGCCTGAGCTGCTGGATAAATAGTGATGCATTTTAGTGAGGTGGGGGATATTGGATGAGAGAAAATTGGGATATCATGTGGAATCAAGAGTTTACTTTTTTATATATGAACTTTGAAATCTTGTTTGACATTAGTGTGGAGCTATCAGGTAGTCATTTAGATGTAAGAGAATAGAGTTCAGGAGGGTGCTGGGAATCATGGATATTCATTTGGTAGTAATCAGTATACTTATGATGTATAAAGGTATGGAAATGAACAGTAGTCAACGTAAGTGCTTGTCATATTCTAAGCACTTTGCCTGTATTAACTAATTTAAATTTTATAACAGCATACAAAGTTATCCACTGTTTTGTGGATGTGAAATTGAGACATGAAAAGATTAAAATTGCTTGTAAGGTATGGAACTGGAATCCTCCAGATATCTGTCTCCACATTCTATGCACTTACCACTATTATTATATGGGGTGAGACTGTGGAGGGTGTGTGGTCATRGAGGGGAGTGACCTGGCACTCTAGTATCCAGAGGGTGAGATGAGGAGACTATGAAGGAATAGCCACAGAGGTAGTGTGCAAGTCAGGAGGAGGTGACATATCCTATAAGACAAGTGAACAAAGTGGTGTTTGGAGAAGTGGGATGGGGCAGGGGGCTGCTAAATAGTCCAGAATGATTGGATGTGACAGGTGCTGCTAAGTAGTCCAGATGAGGCAGGCTAAGGTTTGGCCATTGGGTGTGACTAAATATTGAAGAAAATTGTTGATAACCTTGATGGGAGCAGTTTCAGAGGACTCATGGGCATTAAAATGAGAATTAAAAAGAGGGGCCAGGGAAAAATGGAAGTAGAGAAAGTATGATCTCATTAGATTCTCACCATTACCATTTACCTTGTAAGGTAGGTACTGTTATCCCCTGGTGAGAAAGTTGAGGTGCCAGATGTTGCACAGCTGCCAAGATGTTGATTAACTGCTCATTGACAAACCTTTGTCTCTGGCCTCTGTTATTTAGTGTGTACCAGTCGAAGGCTGAATAAAGTGATCCGTCCTTCCCCACCCCATATCCTCATGGGGGTAAGCTTTTCTGACTCAATGGTCAACAAAGAATTGTATGGAAATAAAGCAGAAGAGATGCACCCAGGGAAGTGCATATATGGAGGGCCATGTTGGGAACAGTGGCAAAGTTAGGCTTGACCACTTGACCACCCAGTGGACCATGGCACCATCCTCCCCTTGGATGCCATCAGAGACTTTGTTTAAGCCCTGTGGAGCAGACTAGGATCTATAGAAGGCACAAAGCAGATTGCTGTATTTTTTAAATTAATTAATGTATTTTAATTAGGTATAATGACAGCAGCAGACAGCTGTTTTTGACCTTCCTGAGAGTTGGAGCTGTTTTAACTTTAAAATGGGCCCCTGCTATTGCTAGTAACAGTCAGTACTAATTAACACCTTGTTGAGCTCTTCGAGCATGCCAAGTCCTTACATGTGCCAAACACTTCATCAGCTCATTCAAGCCGCACAACCGTCCTATGAAGTGTTGGTACTATCATCACCCTCATTAACAAATGAGGAAATTGAGGTTAAGATACTTGTACCAGGTGATTGCTAGTAGGTGATAGAGCCTGGATAATCCAGACATGTTCCTTCCTCAAAGCATGTGCTTGTCGACCCTCTGGGATTCTGCCTCTCTTCAAACAAGATACTGTCTGTGGGAATATTACAGAGGGATTTCTGGTTTCAGCTGGCAGATGGGACTAGATTCTAAATATCATTTTATGACAAAAATTATGTGACTTCAAGAACTGTGTTATTTTAGCTCCTATGGGAAAAGTAGTAGGAGAAATAGAACCCTACATAAAACCTGAATCTGAAACCTAAACTCTATCTTCTTGGCAGTAATTTTCTGAGGTTTAGTGATGAGCTTCATTTTTATGTCTGTGTATGTACGCATGTRTGCAAATTTGCCTATGTCTTGAATCAAAATAGCTTGGAATCTTAGGCAGATTTCTTAATATGGGGTTGAATTATCATTTTGTTTATCTCAAATTAATTACAACTCTCCTTAAAACCTAGGGTTAGTGACCCATAATTCATTTGCACCTTTCACATAGACTTGGCTATTTCCACAGATTTACAAATAGAGTAAATCCATCTATGCATATGTATCATTTTTTTCCAGCTGGAGAATTTAAGAGTGCAGGAAGTAAAGTATCTGTCAGCTGTAAATTATATCCCCAAGTCACTCTGCCAAAAGCCAGCCCGGTGCCCTAATATCAAAATAAGAGCTTCACAGATTCATGTAGGACAGAAGTAATGTTGTATGTTTGTGCATACATTATTCTTATATGTTTATAAATTTATTGGAAAATTAATACTGATAAATACACTGGATTTCTGAACAGACTCCAGGAAAATATTTTATTTTGCCCTAGGAAAGATAGCATATTTGATAAGATGTTTTCATAAATTTTATTTCATGAGCTATAGCTTATTAGTAGAATACTTGCCTAGTGAGTGTAGCCCTGGCTTTGATCCCCAGCATGCACACGCGCAAGCACGCGCGCACACACACACACACACACACACACACACACACACACAAAAGAAATAAAGAAAAAGAAAAGAGAAAATCTTATGGGACAGAAATATCTTTTCCAGAAATATATCAAAATCCATTATGATTGTCTTTGCCTGACACATAAGTCACTTAGGAACATTTTAAAGAAGAGCACACTGATGCTTAAAATCAGTCATACCTCTAGAAAGTATTGGAGCTAGAACTGGAAGCCAGGTCTCTTAAGTCCAAATTAAACCAAGCTGTTACTTCTGCTACTTTTTTGGGGTTTTTTGTTTTGTATTGTATTTACTGGGTGACATAGCAAAAAGGAAATGAATGGAAAAATGAAGGGAGTTCACAGACTCAAAGGAGAAATTAAAATGCCAGAAACCAAAAAGAACATCAGGAATATAGACTAGTAAAGTCAAAGGAAAGTGAGACTTCATTGTCAGAATGTTAACATGTACTTCAAACATAGGCCATCCCTGACACTGTAGTCACATTCAAAATCCTGGAAGGGTTTGATGGACTTATGTCTTTTTGACTAAGATAGGCCAATCCTGGCAAGGCCTCTTAATCAATATTCACAAAGGAAAACATGGAATGAGGGAAAATGGCTTCTCAAAGAAAATCAGTACCAAAAGAATGAAGGTGGGGTGTTACTAGACAAAAAAGAGCAGATGCCATAGATAAGAGCGATACATGTTTCTAACTGAAAATTGGGGCACTTAAGTCAATGCACCTGTAGAGTCATTTCTACTCCACCAGAAAATTCTTGAGTACAGGGGCTATGTTTATTAATCTATCAATCCCCAATACTTGGTACAATACCCAGCACATAGTAGATGCTCAGTAGTTATCATTGAATAGTTGAGTGAATGAATGGTAAAGTTCTTACTSCTGTCCCCTTAAAAAAAGGTTATAAATGCCTTGAGGGTTGACTTTGCTTTTGGAGCCACATGGATCAGTCAGTGTACTAGCTTGTGGGCATGAAATCTCAGCAGATTCCAGGGAGAAAAGCTGATACTCTACTGTAAACATATGCTCTTTCWGCTTTACCAATCCTTTGCAAGTCTGACTTCTATTAGAATCACCTGGTGTATTAAAATGCAGATGCCAGAGTCTCACCTCAAACTGATTAAATCAGAATCTCTAGGAGCTATGCCCGGGATCATTATTTTTCTTTTTAAAGCTCCCAGGGTGATTCCAAAGTCAGCCAAAATTGAGAACCACTAAGCCACACTGTTGCTTTTGTTCAAGATAACTAAATGGGCTTTTAAATGTGTCAACTATAAATGATTAAACTTGCAGCCTAAATGCTTATTACTGCCACATTGTAATTATATCCACTATGATTTCCACTTTTGCTTTCTCTGCTGGATGCCTTTTAAATAAAAGACTACAAGTCTTTATAAACAGAACTAGCAAACCAAGAACAACATTTGCCAGTGGAGAACAGAATTGTGAAATTCTGGGGGTGGTTTGGCTGCAGTGCTGCAAGCAGCTACTCATAAATTATCCTGGTTCAATTGCTGGGTCTGTGAAAGAATTTCAATCTATTCTCTCCCCCACCCGCCCCAATCTGCACCTGTGTTCAGTCAGCACTTCTTAGCAGTAACCACCTTATAAATTCTACTAAATGTATAATTTTTATAAGAACTGGGGTATAAAAAGCAATTTGTTTTTAGTGGGAAACCTTAGAACTGGATCTAAAATAAAATAAAGTGGATTTTTCCCTAAAGCAGACAGCCCTGTAGAGAAATATTGCTTCCAAACTTTAAGCCATCTGGAATAGCCTTCAGTATGATTTTTTTTTGGTTTATTTTGTTTGGTTTGTTTGGAAGATGTACTTATAAACAAAAACAAATAAATATCAACTTGTCATCATAAGTCAGTGGTTTTCAAATAGGAGTGATTTAGCCCCTCCTTGCTCCATCCCCATAGGACATGGAACCATGTCTAGAAATACTTTTGGTTGTTCCAACCTAGCCAGGGGTCAGGAGGTGAGGGAGTTTGGGGGGCATGGAGTACTACTGGCATCAAGTAGGTAGGGGCTAGGAATGGACAGTGCTCCACAGCAAAGAATTATCCAGCCCAAAATGTCAGTAGTTCCAAGATTGAAGCACCCTGTTGTAGGTGAAGAGTTGGAATGTATGGATCAAAGAAATATCTTCATGAGCCAGGGGCTTCAGTAAATAAGGAAGTCTGCTGGCAATTGAGCCCAAGAGGGTTGTTTTGTATTTGGAAGTGGTGTACTTCAGTAAGTCAAGGTGGATGGTAGGTGCCTTCCTTTTCTTGCTTTCTTTCCATTCTCTGAAGAGGGCTGTCTTCACCTACAGAAACAAGCACTTGCAGAGGCACCTTTTGGAGCAAGTTGTTTGGGGTGTAGTTATTTGTCAACAGAAACTACTAATATTTAGAAAATGATAACTCTTAAGCATCTGATGATAATCTATACTATAGTAATATTTAAGTGGCATATGCTTAAAATTAAATGAATTCAAAATCTCATCTCCAGTGATCCATATTTTTAATACACAGGAATTGAACTTGATAAATAAATTTGTTTAAAGTGAAAGGGCAACCTAATCAGACATTGGTACACATTCTTTCAAGTCACATTAGTATGTTAATCATGAGACTYAAGGTCATTGATCTCTTCTTACCACTTCTTCTCTCACTTTCCCTTCTATAATAGCCCTTGCTAAATTCTAAGGATTATCCTGAGTGAACTAGATTTTTAGTTTCTGTGTGTTTTCTTGATAGCCTCTTCTCTTAAAAAGCATTAGCTTTTCTTTAGAGTATCTGCTGAGATTCCCTTCCCTCAATCTAGCTGCACTAACTGGTCCTTAAAATAATAATAAAGTCAGGTTCCCCAAAAAAGCCTGTCTTGAAAAATTCACTGATCAGCCTACCCATTCTTTTTTGCCCTGGGGATCACTTCCATCTCAGGTAATTTCAGTAGTGAGGTAGCTGTTACATGACAGGGAAGGAACCTCTGTCTAGGACCTCCTGAGCTTCAGACATCAAAACCAATTCAAGTGGAGATGGCAATCCCCTCTCTAAAGATGTATGGAGAGTTAAGTGAGTTAATATAATAATTGCTAAAACTTACTATACATTTCCTGTATACCAAAATGGTTCTAAGTGTTTCTCATGTATCAATTTATTGAATCTGGTTGTTTCATTTAATATGTTCCTTTATTAAGAAATTAATGTAGTCATTTCTCAATATCATTTTAAAGAAAAGTATAGCTCTTATCAAACACTCAGAAATACCCAGGACCCCAAAATATTTCATAATTAATGCTATTAGTTTAAATACCTTATCAGCATAAAACTCAAGGTCATTTGTGAGCTCATTTCTGACTATCCATCCAGTGCCATCTGCTGCCACTCTTTCTTTTAGTTCATTATGGACCAGAAATACAGATTTGCTGGTAGCATGCAGAATGTGCCACCTGCTGTCTTTTCCAGCTCTTTGTGTGAGTATTCTTGCCTAGAATGCCAGCCCTTTCCTCCTCCTTTTTTTATCTTCGTGTGTCACTTATGGAACTCCTCCTTAGACCCTCTACTGGACAATCTCTGCTTCTTCCTCTCCTTCTGTGCCTCTAGCATTCGTCACATCCTGTTATAATTAATTGTTAGCTTACAGGACTGTCTCCCCATCTGGACTAGGGAGGTGATTGTGTCTTTCTATTCATGCTTATTACCTAACGTGGCATCTGTCATGTGGAATATACCAATGAAGGGACAGTCAGCTATGGGACAAATTCTGGCCTTTTTATTCTTAGGTGCTCTTGATCAAACTACAGAATGGATAAAAGAATCTGTAAATGAAGAATTACTTTCTCTTTCTGAGTCTGCTTTAACTCCTGGGGCTGAAAATATCTCCAAACCAAGCTTGAGTCCTACAGTGGTGCTAAATAATAGTTACTTGAAACTGTTAAAGTGGGATTATCAGAAAAAAGACTTACCGGAGGTAAGTAAATTTTTTTCTTCCCTAAAGTTTTCCAGTATTTTAATTCTTAAGTTCTAACTTAGAATTGACTTGTCTTTGTTGTATGTGGTTTAATGACTTTACTGAAATCAGATAAAAATGGGAGTTTGGATATGACATTGCTTATTTTATGTTTTAATGGTATTGTGTTGCCTTTTCATTTTTACATTTCAAATAAATATACAGACACTTGTGACAGATGGAGCACGACTTCAGGAACTGACAGAAAAGCTGAATCAATTGAAAATTATTGCCTGCCTGTCCCTAATTACCAAGAATATGGTGGGGGCTGTTACAGAAGGCTTCCCTGAGCTTACAAACAGGTTAAAAAGGATTTCAGCTGTTCTACTTGAAGGCATGAACAAACAGTAAGTTCCAAGTGTTTGTATCAGTTTGCTCTTATATTAAGGCTCTTGTGCATGTGTTTCAGAGAACCAAGAATAACCCTGGACATCTGGATGTGATATTCAGGACTGTGCTTTAGAGAAGCTTATCTTATACCTTCTCTTTCTACAATTCCTTTTAATATCTCTTAAGTTTTAAATGTCCTTTCATAGGCGGGAGAGGTGTTTTCCAGGATGAGTGTAGTGCTGCTACTTAACATGGTAGTATTTTGAGAGTACTGTGGCAAAAACAAAAAACAGAAATCCTCTGAGCCCCATGTTCAGAAGAGTCCTATCAAAGAGGTCTCAGCAGGTTCAATTTTTCTTATTCCATTGTTTTTCTGCAGTGAAATTTTTACTGAGTTCACCAATCCAACCTGCTATGAAGTCTTTAGAAGTGGGGACAATTCTGTCCTTCAAAGATGTGACTGAAGTCTAGACAATGTTTTGTTTTTGGTAAATTTATTTCCAATAGGATACTTCCACTGAATGAAAGAATCCCATTTAGATTTTGCATGTAGGTCATTGCATTGAAATCCTATTCAAGTCAGAAAATTCCTACTTTCATCAAATGACCAGATGTTTTTGTGCGTCTTATTTGGGTCAGCTCCTCCTGCTGGTTTGCCTTCCAGGTGTTTTCAGGGACATGTCCTCTTTATGTACCAAGCCTTCCACTCGATACTCAAAGAACACATAAATTACTTGATAAAATTCTACAATAGGAACCTGAATGGTTATAGGATCCAAACTTCCCATTTTGAGCTGAAAATTAGAGAAAGAATAGAATTGGCCTTGTGCTACACAAATAGAAAAGGGAAATCCAAGGCCTGAGCCCTGGTCTGATTGTCTCAAAGCCCTGTCCTTTCTGCTGATTCTGCATGAACCTGCCATGTTCATTTATTTCACATTCCAGGAACCAGGCTCTATAATTGGAAAAGGAAAAAGAAAAAAAAAACATATCCTCTGATTTCACACCTGGTTTAACATTTTCTCACTCTGAGTAACCCATTGCTTTTCAGAAATATTTATTTTTAAGTTTACTGAACATCCAGTTCTACTTGCTTATTAAAGTGGAGAATATAGAACCTGGTTACCAGGAGGACAGGCTTTCAGGTCAGGCAAACCAGTGTTTAAATCCCATCTCTGTTAGGGTCCTGTTCAGTATGTGTGAATAAATTCCTGAATCCACTCTGAGCCTTTCTTTCTATGTAAAAGGAGAACAATAATTGTACCTACCTTGGAATTGTGAGAACTTAAGGTGATTCATTGTTTTCTCTGATATGTGGAAGCTAATCTGAAATAAGGGGAGGGGGAAGATTAAAAAAAAAAAAGGAGGAAGGAAAAAAGGGGAGAGGGAATTTGATCAAAATAGAAGATTAATAGAGTAGATTAAGGGGTTTGAGGAGGAAGAAGAAGGGTCCAGAAAAGGGAAGAGCAGTGGAATGAGTCTGACCAAACTTTTTTTTAATGTGGTTCTAAGGATCAAACCTAGTGCGAGGCAAGGGCTCCACCACTGAACCCAACCCCAGCCCCTGACCCAACTTTTGTATGTCCGTGCATGGTTGTGGCACGTGGGTCCTGGCATCTGGTGTATCCACAGGACACTAATTTTAAAAAATAATAAATAAGCTGTAAATGGATTGAAGAGGGATTGGCAGAATGGAGGGAGGGGGTGGGAATGGGGGAGATGGGAAGTGCTGAAAACTGAATCACAGTGGGTTGGGGTCCATGCTTTTTTGATTATGTCTAGGTATATCCTGGTGTTGTATCATAACTAAAACTTTTAAAAAGATGATTTATAAAGCACTTAGTATCGGTATCTAGCATATATTGTGCTTGATGAGGGTAGGCTATTAATAATTGTTTAGTTGTTAAACCATCCTGTTTATAGCTTTATCTGGCTGTTTAATTTAATATTTTCCTTTATTAAGAAATGAATGCAGTCATTTCTCAATAGCCTCATTATGGATGGGGCAATAACATCTGTAATATGAAAAAGCAGATGGTCCCAATAGCTAATAGAGTCATATGTCATTTATATTTGGTTTGATGATGCATCTCAAAAATGAGCAGGAGTTTTTCCTTCATTGTGAATAGGAAGACTTGGATTATGCTACAATTTAATTTTTCATTTAGAATGAGAATTCACTGATTGAAAGCTAGTGCAGTACTTTGTAGTAGATAAAAAGTCAGGAGTAAAATTTTTGCCACAGTCTGCCCCAGGGTTGTAAGAACCTCAAGGGCAAGTCCAATGTGGAAGTATAACAGATTCAAGTCAAGGCAGAACATAAAGGACTTATTTTTTATTGCTGTTAATGATGCCAATAATGATATCATTTTTTCTCTTCTTCTCATTGAGCACTTGCTAAGCAATCTGCAAAAAGCTAATATAGGCATATAGCAAGTTCACTGGTAGAACCAGGATTTGTACCAAGGTTTGCATGACACCATGACTTATGTTCTAATTCACTCCATTGTGCTGCTTCCTATCATTGGTCTTTGTCTTATCCTTTTTTTTTAAGTTTTTTTTTAGTCATAGTTGGACACAATACCTTTATTTTATTTATTTATTTTTATGCAGTGCTGAGGATCGAACCCAGTGCCTGGCCCATGCTAGGYGAGCGCTCTACCACTGAGCCACAATGCCAGCCCCTTTGTCTTATCCTTTAATTCCCATTTTTCAAATAGTCATCTTAAAGATCTTTTTTGTATGGTGAAGTATAATTTGCAATTAGCATTCCTTAAGAGTATGAATCTAATACATGCCTGCCCTTACTACCTTTTCTCCTTACCTATGAAATAACCTACTTCTTAATTGCTTTTTACAATTTTCAGGGCCCTCTGTATACTTGAAATTACTTTTAAATTATTTGAAAGTAATAATGGGGAGGAGTTTATTTTCTTTGGTCTTGATCAGTCAAGAGTTTTAGGTAATTTACCTGTGAATATCTTCATTGTTTTTGATTGGTGTTATAGATTTTCTGCTCAGACATAGAAAAATGAATTGATTCTGCCTCATTTTCCAAGCACATTTAAAAGAAATGTATGGGGCTGGGGATGTGGCTCAAGCGGTAGCGCGCTCACCTGGCATGCGTGCAACCCGGGTTCGATCCTCAGCACCACATACCAACAAAGATGTTGTGTCCGCCGAGAACTAAAAAATAAATATTAAAAATTCTCTCTCTNGCCGAGAACTAAAAAATAAATATTAAAAATTCTCTCTCTCTCTCTCTCTCTCTCTCTCTGTCCCCTCTCTCACTCTCTCTTTAAAAAAATAAAAATAAATAAATAAATAAAAGAAATGTATGAATGGATCCACTTAGAACAACATGTTTATTTCAAGAAGTAAATTTGTATTTTCTGTCCCTTTCTGATAACCTATATGTAAATAGAGTTGCAGACTTATTTCAGGGACTACATATTTTGGTCCATACTATTAAGACACTGTACACAACTGAGTGGTTTTATGCATTTTAAATTCTGGTATATTGGGCTGGGGATGTGGCTCAAGCGGTAGCACGCTCGCCTGGCATGCGTGTGGCGCGGGTTCGGTCCTCAGCACCACATACAAACAAAGAAGTTGTGTCTGCCAAAAACTAATAAAATAAAGATTAAAAAGAATTTCTCTTTCTCTCTCCTCTCTCTCTCTCTCTTTAAAAAAAAAATTCTGGTATATTGGGAGAGTTAGTGGTTGGAAGGAGTTACTACTTTCTAAGTTTATTCTAGAAGTAATTATTGTTGGTATAAGAAAAAATTGGTAGACATCTGAAATAAGTTGGTATATTTAAAAAAAAAAACCTGAAGAACAAAAACTTTCCCTAAAGGGGTATCATTTTATTTTTGTAGGACATTTAACTTGAAGGAAGCCCTGAATTCCATCGGTGTTCAGACTTGTGTTGAGGTTAACAAGACCCTGACAGAGAGAGGTTTACCCACTTTAAACGCTGAGGTTCAAGCTAATCTCATAGGTCAATTTTCAAGCATTCAAGAGGAGGACAATTCTATCTGGTCCTTGATTGGTGAGTTGCTCATTTTTTAAAAAATTGGTTTCTGCTTCTGTTCCAATTTGCTTTAACTTGCTGTTTTTGACTAATTTTAAAGGTCAGTCATATTTTAGTCTTAAGCACATTAACAAAAGTTTCAGTTCTGGAGCATTTCAGATTTTATATTTTCAAATCAAGAATGTTCATCCAGTAAAATCCATACAAATATTCCCAAATCCAAAAAAAATGTAATATCTGAAACACAGCTGACTTCAAATATTTTAGATAGAGAATATTCAATTTATATTGGCTTTGGAGGATAAATTTTAAAAATATAAATAAATATTAATATTTTCAAAGATCGGGATTCACTGAATCTTGTATAGTGGGGTGAGTGGGGGTGTTTCAGGGCCTACTGTCTTTATCCAGCCAATAGATGTTATGAAGAAAGTGATACAATGCTGCTAGTAACATTAAAATAATATACCAATACACAATTCAAACCAGATAGCAATATGTTCATAGAAAGTAGATGTTGATTCTGCTGTGAGCCACCCTAAGGGAACTGAGGCATCCTTCTTGGTCAGGAGGGACAAAATGCAAAAAGACTGGGAATCTGGGAAGTGTGCCAGGTGACCTCTTTTTGTACTTGTTGGCCAGGACAATGTCTTAGTGTCAAGCCATGTTGGTGAGTTGAGGAAGTACAGATTGTTAGGCCTTTTTCTGCTACCTGTGACAAAGAATCTAAACTTTGAAACTACTTGAAGCAAAGAGAACATTTGTTATCTCACATAACTGAAAAGACCAGCAGTTCAGTTTAATCAGAGTTCACTAGCTTCCCAGCTTCACCTCCCCACTCTGCCGCCTTCTACCTATAGCTCTTCTCATGACAGCAAGATGGCTTCCTCTTCAGCCTACTCTGTCCATGGTTAAGTCAAGCAAAAACAAGGAGTCTGCTTCTCTGTTAGCTCAAACAATGACCCCAGCACTGAATTTTGTTGACTCCACTTGGCCTAACTCTAGGTTGTGGGGGAGAAACTTAAACTTGAGTCATGTGCTCAGTTTCTGAATCTAGGAACAGTCTGCTTTACCTATAATATCTGATGAGAAAAGGGAAGAAATAGTTTCCTAAATAAAATTAGGGCACTATGACCTTGAGAAGGGGAAGAGGCTCGGGTGAGGTAAAAAGCAGGTGCCTGCTGCAGAAGTTGAAGAAGAAACACTAGGAGGAGGAAGAGTGTAGAATTAAAATATACTGACATTCTAGTATTAACTTGCAAGTTTTCTAGTTACAACAACACTGAGTACCCTACGAAGACAGACATATTTTATTTTATTTTATTTTTGAGGTTCTCAAGTGTTTTTTCTCATCCTCACTCTGGGGACATGGAATGCTGGGGATCAGTCTGTACAAAACTACTTGGGTGGCTCAAGGCTTCATTCAACCCTGCTCCCAGGAAAGAGCAGCACTACAACATTTGGGGTGTCAGGAGAAGCTGCTGCTTAGAGGGGTCAGTTTATAATAGTGACACAGACACCTGTGACAGTTCTCACCTGTGTACCTGCCTCTTCTGATTTGCATCTGTCCTCACAGTATGTAGTCTCCAGCTGAATAGTGTAAATCCTGGAGATTGTGTTCCTAGGAGGAGAGGAGTAGAATGGGGACTTAAACACTGTCTAGTCTTTGCCACATACTGCTAGATCCCCACTAGCAGCAAATGAGGACAGAGTAGATGTTTCTTCCTGGCTGTATCCCTGTACAATGCTGAGTCCGTAGATGACATTTGATTAAGTACTTGTAGAATGGGTGAACGTTTGGGAGATCTAGAGAGGTTAAGTAACTCTCCCCTAGGGTCACATAGTTAGCTAGGGCAGAGTTGTGATTCTAACTTAGCCTGTCTGACTCCAGAGCTCATATTCCTAACTGCTCTGACTGGCACCTCAGTCAGAGCTAGAGCCCTGCTGCAGTTGGCTAGAGTGTCACTATGGGCCCTGTGTTTTTGCATTGATGAGAAAAGTCCTGGCAGTGTCAGAAGGGAGAGGGAAAGGTGGCAGGAGATGCCTTTTAAAATCCAGGAAAGCAACTTTGGTCTACTGAGCTCTCCCCAGTCAACTTTCCTTTTCTTTTGCAAATTGAAAGCATTTTTTAACCTCACTCAGAATATTGTTGGCCTAGCAACTTGAGTGACTCACTGGAGTATCTCTCCTTTGGCTCCGAAGCCAAGGACACGCCTTTGGCAGGGATTCTGACTGCTCCTAACTGAACAAATGCTCCTGTCACTTTAATCTTCTCCTTAAAACCGAGGAAACAGAATCACTTTTGGTGTAATAGCAATTTTGAAAGGACTTCATTTTTTAAACCTTCATGCAAGAAAATGTTTAGACAATATCTGTGATGAAACCTATGAGAGTCAAGCAACCAGTCTAAAGGGAAACTTAGTACACAGTTAATTCTGCGTTTCCTGAATGCATTTGGGCTAGAGTAAATTAAGCACTTAGAGAGATCCTTGGCATACAAGGAAGGTTCAACTTCATTAGCCACGGGTTTCCTCCCTGTTCAGAGTGTCCATAGTCTATCTCCTGTGTGCTTAGTTGATGTGCTATTCATTTTCCAAAGGGATTGTACTTCCCACTGTGTTCTTAACCTTTTGAAATGATCATTAGAAAGGGAATTTTCTTTCAAACCAATTTATTTTCAAATGTGAACAAAAGCCAGGTAAAATTATTTATGGATTATAAAATTATTTATGGACTATCTGTTGTGTAGATTATTTGCATGCCTGTAGCCTTCTGCACTTTTTAAAAAGTAATTTTCAATTGTCCAAGTGATACGTGAATAATCTATTTTTCTTGAAATGTCACAGATAAGACCTAAGTTATTTGCGACTGCCTTTGCCAGTCCCTTTCATCCCTGGCTCTGTTGTTTTCAGTTTGGTATTTATCTTCATCAACCTTTTTCATTCCATTCCCACTGAAGTTCATTGAGCATTTTTGATGTATCTGCTTCATGCCAGACCAGGAATATAAAGATAAAAGAGACATAGCCCTCACCCTCAGGGGTGCCGGGTCTAAGGCAGGAAAGAGAAACATGCTTACCTGGCAGTGTTATGGCATGATAGTGATAGTAAACACTAGGGAAAGCCACCGCAAGGAGGTAACTTTGGCCCAACATGGAGGGATGTTCTGACTCTGAGTGGAGATGAGATGAGATAAAAGGGCATTTTGTTAAGAGAACAATTCTAATACTTGGATGTTGGAAAGTTTGAGGTGTAGGTTGGATCTGACTGGAACATGTGATTTAGGGGAGAAGTATTGAAGATAAAGAGCTTCATTAATGTCACAGTTGTCCATATTTGATGCAGTGTATTTTTAGTAAACAGAGAGAGTCCTTGCAGTCACATGAGCTGTAGCAGGCCTAGTTTGCTTTGTACTAGTTGTCCAGTATGGCTGCAGCCTGATGAATGTATGCATTTGCATGCTTTCATGCAGTTGTTTCAGACTGGAAACAACTGGAGCATTACATCATTCGGAAGGTGGCAAACTGCACTGCTCATTGGGGTGGCTCTTCTTCAGTGCTTCAGTTACCTTGTGCAAGATGACTGTATAATTTATTGTCCAAACAAGGACAACTTTTGAGAGTGCTGTTTTTAATTATACTGCAACAACAGGTGTAAACTTGGACTGTCTTGGGAAAACCTAGGTGTGTGGTCACCCTTGCCATGTGGTAAATTGGACCCTTAAATGTGATAGAGCTCTATATTTTTCATGAAGAAACAAAAATTTGGATATCATTGTGAAACTCCCTGTTTTTAAGTTACTTCTATTTTTTAAAAATAAACCAAACCAAACAAATGAAGAACAAAACCAAAAATCATAGAGAGGGCCATGCTGGCAGAACCAGTTAACAAGCTAAGCTTCAGTTTATGTAACTGCATAAATTGTGGCCATGAAGGATTTTTTTTTGTAAAAGATTCCCCACAAGTGCTCAATGTTTTTTTTTTAATTTAGTCAACTATTGCTGAATAACAAGTTATCCTCAAACTCCATAGCTTAAAAAATAAAATAAAAGCATTATTACTATACAGAAGTCTGTGGGGGCAGTTGGGTAGTTCTTCTGGTCTTGTTGGAGCATTCATGCATCTATGGTCAGCTGTGTCTCAGGTTGGTAGTCCTGCTGGTCATTGCTGGACTCTCTCAGGTGTTCGGGAGTTGATGGCTCCAGGCTGATCTAGGATAGTCTCAGATGGAACAACTAGTTTTCTCTCTACTTGATCTCATCCTCTACAAGCTCAGCCTTGTCACATGGCAATGATAGGTGGAGAGAGTGGGCATAAATGGTCCCTCTTGAGGCCTAGGCAAAGCAAGTCATAGGCCAGTCTAGGTTTGAAGGATGGGGAAATATATTCTATCCCTTGATGGGAGGAATTTTAATACCATCTGGCTGCAAAAATGGGTAAAGAATTGGGAGCATTATTGCAATCAACTTACTACAGTTACTTGTTTTTAAAATTATGTATTTAGCACATGCCTGTTATCCCAGCTATTTGGGAGGCTGAGGCTGGAGGATCTCAAGTTGGAGGCTAGCCTGGGCAACTTAATGATATGCTGTCTCAAAATAAATAAAGGGCTGGGTATGTAGTTTAGTAATAGAGTACTTGCCTAGCATTTTCCAGGCCCTGGGTTCAGTCCTCCATTCCCCTTCCCCCCAAATTGTGTTCTTAAATAATGGGACAGATGAAGATATCTTTTTTTTTTTTCCCTTCAGATAAACGAATCCAACTATACATGAAAAGCCTACTTTGTCTTCCAAGCTCTCAAAAATGCATGCCTCCTGTGCCAGGAGGCCTTACTATCATTCAGCAAGAGCTAGAAGCATTAGGCTGTCAATATGCAAACATCGTGAATCTCAACAAACAAGTGTATGGACCATTTTATGCAAATATACTTCGGAAGCTGCTCTTTATTGAGGAAGCTGTGGGGAAGGTAAATGCTTCATCTCCAACCAACTGAAGACAACTGACATTGGAGACGAGATGGGAAATCCAGCACTTTGGTACCCAGTCCATAACCATCAATGGCATTATAGATATGGCACATTCTTAGTACTGTCTGTGGTGCAGTGTTAGCCCAAGCATATGTAATCTGGTAATGTCAGCGTTACAGAAGACACACATATCACATAAACCTTACTTTTGCATCACCTTCAAGTTTAAAACAGACATTTGTAATGAACAAAAAGCAATTTGTAATTAATTATATTACCTATATAATACTTGTTTTCCTAAGCGTTTTTATATGACTTATTCATTCAGCTGATAAGGAGTTGTTTTTCTCATTTGTCACTATCAAATCTAATGATTTTTAATTTTGGTACAACTTTTTAAAGGGTTTGAAAGTTGTGAGAATATTCAAGGCAACTGATGTTCTGAATAAATGAAGTGAAGTAACGCATAATTGTATATGAAGTG